GGTCTCGGTATCTAACACTCGAGTCAGGATACACATTCAAGCCATGTTCTACTTTCCTACTGGAGGTCTTCTCCCTAAGGGTCTCTATCTCAAGATCACTCCTCTATGCTTCTAACACTCGGTTCACAAGTGTAGGTTGTGAAACCATGGAAAACATGGCCGAAGATTCAACGGACTCGCCAAGATGCAAGTCAAACTCTCTAAGAGTACCTAACATTTCCCACTCTCGAATGGCAATACACGCCACACTACTGATGGACTTCCTACTCAAAGTATCGGCCACTACGTTTGCCTTCCCTAGATGATGATGCAACTCAAAATCATAATCCTCAATGAACTCCATCCACCTTCTCTACCTCAAGTTCAAGTCTTTTTGTGAGCACGAGTACTTCAAACTCTTGTGATCAGAAAACACCTTAAATCTCTCCCTATACAAATAATGTCTTCAGATTTTTAAGGAAAAAATCACCGCCACTAACTTTAAGTCATGTATAGGATAATGTTTCTCATGGATTTTTAATTTTCGTGAGCCATAAGCCACTAGTTTCCCTTCTTGCATCAATACACAACCCAAACTGTCTCGAAACGCATCACAATACACTGAGTAACCCAAACCACTCTCTAAAATAATCAAAACTAGAGCAGTGGTGAGTCTAGTCCTAATTTCTTGAATCGACTTTTCACAAGTCTCACTCCATGCAAAGTTAATTCCCTTCCTAGAACCTAGTTAATGGCAAGGCCAATCTAGAAAAATCTTTCACAAAACGTCGATAATACCCGGCTAAGCTCAAGAAACTATGGATCTCAAAGGTGTTTTTAGGTCTACAATCACTCCTTCCCCGAACATAACATGGCCTAGAAATTTAACTTCTTTGAGTCAAAACTCACACTTTCCCAGATTAGCACATAGACGGTGTGCCCTAAGCAACTCTAGTACTACTCGCAAGTGTTTCCCGTGTTCCTCCTCAAAAGTGAATAAATAAAGATGTTATCGACGAAGACAACCACAAACCAATCTAAAAACCCATGGAAGACTCGATTCATCAAGTTTATAAACAAGTTTGGTGCATTCGTTAGCCCAAAAGACATCACTAAGAACTCGTAATGGCCATACATACGGAATGTCATTTTCTGAATATCTGCCTCCTTCACCCTCAACTAGTGATAACCTGATCTCAAGTTGATCATCGAAAAGCAACAAGATCCCTTCAACTGGTCAAATAAGTCATCTATCATTGGCAATGGGTATTTTGTTATTGATAGTTACTCGGTTCAATTTATGGTAATCAATATACAACCACAAAGTGTCATCTTTCTTCTTCGTAAAGAGAGTCGGTGCTCCCCAAGGCGAGGTACTAGGGCGAATAAATTCCTTATCTAACAAATCCTGGAGTTATACCTTTAACTCATACAATTTATGTCACGACCCAAACCCGCCTCTATAGGTTTAGCGTAATGACTGGCCAGTAATCTTAGATTACCTACGGCCTCTATTAACAAAATCAATTTAATATGAATTATGGGGCTTAGCGGAAGCAAATTAAAATATAAAAGTAGTCCATTGAGCTGTGCATATATGAAAAGAGTTCATATTAACACTGTACAACCATTCTATAGGTAAATGCATACATCACAAAAGTTTTTAAAAATAACATTCGGTCCACAATTTCAAACTTGTCAAGTCTTACATACACAAAACCCCTATGCCAAAACCCAAGCTAAGAGTTCATAACCAAAAAAAATGGGGGGTTTAGACTTTGCTTGGCTCCACACGAGTTCAAGTTGGCTCCTTCACGGGCTGACCACTCCGAGGCGCTCTATATGCCCAACTTGCTCACCTACATAGATATACATAAATAGTGAGCTAATGCCAAATGAGTAATAAAAGGATAAAGAGGTTATATGAATAAAGTTCAATATCATTACAAATGTCATTTTCACATAGCTAGTCAACCTTGGCGTCAATAACCATTTCATTCAAATCATATGGCACATCCAATAGAGTAATAATGCTTTAATAACAATAGGACCACGAGGGTCAATCAATATTCAATATTTAAGCTAACCATGGAGGTCTAACATCAGAGATCTCTGTGTTTCAGTTATCCAATGGGCCATGGTATTATTCTCCCCCAAGTAAGGGTCAATGAGCCACGGTATTGTTTTCCCCAAGCAAGGGCCTCACTAAAGGATGCTACGATTACAAATTCAAATGGAACTTCATTCATTAAGGAGAAGTAGTACTTCAATAAACCATTTAATCATTCATATATCAACTTTGATAACAATAACATTTTCAAAAGTTAGCTTAACTTGAACATATCTTTATAAAGTTATTACTCACAGCGAGTTATGTTGTCACTAGGCCTCGGACGTCTGCCTATACAAAACATATAACAAAAATACAATTGAAGTATCGTTCGATAACCATTCCACTTTAATTAAATTTTTCCTCATGTGTTTCTAACTCATTCCATGATTATATGAGCTCAATTAGTGCCTCAGAGTACTTGAAATGACATGAGGATGCAAGTATGTACTTAAAAGAGTTAGTCAAAATTTACTAAAAATAGGCTCTCCGCTCGAGCGGAGGTTCAAAAATAAGGGTGGTTGCTCGAGCGTAGCTCTTGAAGTTCGAGCGGCCTGTAAACTCTACAAAAGTACTGGTTGCATGAATTTTCCACTCAATGGATGCTTAATTGTCGCTCGAGCGGAATACTGAGTAAAAAGGGTCCTCACTCGAGTGCAACTTTGGTGGCTCGAGCGGTCTATAAAAATTTTCAAAACTTCTGGGAGCTAGATTTTTACGTTCGAGCGACGTTTTATCGCTCGAGCGGGCTAGTAGAATTCTGGAATTTCCAGAATTGAGTTTGAAATTCAAATTTGATATTCAAAGGTTTAAAACTTGTATTTTTGGCCAAAAAAACATAGGAAAACATTCTAGAACTTAAAAATATAGACAATTTGAAACCAATTGCTCAATTCATGGACCCAATTCTCAAAATCAAACTTAAATCATAAAGTTGGAACCATGCATGACATGTATTGTCCTCATTCCTTTTCAAATCTTTTCAAAACTTGATCAAATGGCATGACAAGTGTAAAAACATAAAGAACTCTCTAAATAAATGTATGAAAGTCCCATGCATGTAAGAATTCATAGAAAATTGAACTCAAAGATGAAGGATTATGCATGCATGTATGCAATTATACTCAATTCTTCCATAATCAAGTCAATTCTTTCTACTTACATGCAAATAGACTCATAACTTCTTGAATTCATGACCTACATGTTTTATTTACAAAGATTAAGGTTGAAAATCAAACCTAAAGCTTGATTTCAAGTGTACTCTAGTTCAATCCTTCAAATTCCTTCACAATTCTCTTCTCTCTCTCTCTCTAGGTGTTGAGTTTACTCTTTTTCTCTCTCAAAATCTCAGCTCATGTATGTATATTCTATGAGTTCAAGTCATGAGTTGGCTTATATACGATGTAATTAACTTAGCCTAATCAAGGTTGATTAATTAGGCTCAATTCTAACTAAGCTCAATAAATTTATTCTAATTATTTTGATCCGAATCAAATTTTGACAAAAGTTGCCATAAAATTCTAAATATTCTAATTAGCCTATTAGGCTAGTCAATTTTAGCTTCTGGAGCCGTTAGGCTTTCAATTTCTAATCCTAAATCAATAAGTGAACAGATATTCCATGTAATAACAAATAACTACAAAGTATAGCATGTAAACACATAATTAAACACACAATCATGAAATTAACTTATTGAAACAATATAATATAATAGTACGGAGGTTGGGGCCGTTACAATTTAGCTGGCAGAAATCTATACGGAGTATGGAAATCGAAGTCATATGAGGTGTCAAGTCATTAGAGAACTCAATCTCTCTATGGGGTGGTAACTTAGTAAGATCCTCAAGAAAGACGTTTGGATACTCTTGAACCACTCTCAATAAGTCACCTCAAACCATACTACCCTCATTGGCTACTGCGATAACAAAAAAGAAAACTCAACTCTCGTCGACCCTTAAGGTTATAAAATGAAGGCATAAAACTATTGCCCTGGTCACACAAGAAGTAAAAACACTTTCTAGATGGTGTACACACCAACACCCTTCTACGGGGACAATCTATCAAAGCCTGAAAATGGGTCAACCAATCCACACCCAGAATTACATCAAATGCATCCATGTCGAGAATAATAAAATCAAAGGAGAGTCGATGATCTACGACCTCAATCTCACAAGAGTAGCACACTCGGCCCAATAATACTTTACTCCTAACTGATGACTTAACTAACAGAGGAGACTCCAACAAGTCAAACTCCAAACCCAAGGCAAATGCAAACGACGCTGCTATGAAAGAACGAGATGCACTTGTATCAGTCAACACAATGGCTAAAGAATGAGAAGTTACATCTCACCACAAAAAGTACCAGCAACTAGTCCAACGCGGTAATAGCATACACACGCCCTAAAGGTCTCTGGTTTACTTGCTCACCTCTTGGAACATAGGTCTAGTGCACAGACTGAGCCAAAGTGGCTCCCTAATTGGCACTCGAGGCCCAGACTGACTGTGTTGGCTAATGGCCATGTGTCTGCCTTGAACCAAACGCACCCGGTGTGCCTCTCAACTAAGGGCAAAACCTCCTCAAGTGCCTAGTCTACCCACATTGATAACAGGTAGGTGGTTGCCCTCTTCCTTGGCTCTAGCTCTATGAATGAGCTGAAAATTGAGCTAGTTGTTACCCTTCTCCTTTCTACGGGCATGCTGAAGACTTGTGGCCTAGCTGACCACACTTGAAGCATGTGAACCCACCCTAATTGTCGCTTCTTGAACCAGAACTTAACATAGGAAAAGTGGATCTCAATTGCGAAGTCCAGGATTGATGCGAAGTAGAACCCCTTTGTCTTTTATTGTCCCTCATATCCCCTTGCGACTCCTGCTCCCTCTACCTAGATGCCCTCATCCATTCATCCTCAATCTAAATGACTACCTCCAAATATGTAGCCGATTCCATCAAATGGCCATAATCTCTAATCATTGACCCAATAACCTTGAAAAGGAGCCTAATCCTCAATCTCTCCTCGAACTCAATGCAGCGGTGTTCTTCTGTCTCTACGAGTTCTGGTACAAACCTTGAAAGGCTGGTGAAGGCCACCTCAAACTCGACCACAAGTGTTCTTAATTGCTTGAGCTTTAGGAATTGATCTCTCAACTTCTCCTTAGTCATGGGTGGTAAGAACTTATCTTGGAAGACAGTAACAAATGCCTCCCAAGTCACCCCAATGTGAACTTTCACAAACTTCTGCCATTGACCCGCGTCATCCTAGAGTTAAAAGGCCACCAAGGTCACCCTTAAATATTGTCTTCAATGCCAAGCATCTAAACATCTTTGCCATCTGTTCGAGCCATTCATCGGCCTTCAATGGCTCTTTCAGATCCCCCACAAACTTGTTCAGATTAGACCGAAAGAACTTTCTCTCTAGAAAAGACAGCCACGTCTTAGCAATGTGGGCCTGGACTTGATTCTCAACCTTGAGAATGTCCATGGATTCTCACAATGCTCCCGCCATCTCTCGAGCCAAAGCTCCCATAGCTTGTTGGCTTACAGGCTCAGGCACATTTGCCTAGCCAACACCTTTCTCTTGTGCCAGAATTTCATCCTAGATTGGTACTTCCTGACGTCAAGGTCTACCACACCTAACACAAGATTTAGTACTTTCACATACATGCTAAAACTAATTCACACGTGTCCTAATATAGTGAACAACACAATAATTCACTTCACATAAGCACCGGATCACATATACACAAACGAATTTCCCTTCTAGATAATAACCATTCCACAACATTGCTAGAGTTTTGGTTAGAATTATGAGTGATCAAGTGCTCTTCTAACGGGACTTCTAAGAATTCGTAGACATAATCACCATCTTTGAAACCAAATCCCATACTTATTTAATCACATAAGCATGTTATCACATATGATACAAAGTATAAGTTTGTTACAAACTAGCGAGACAAACCCATTGTTGTAATAACCACATCCCACGAGCCCAAGGTATTTGAACTCAGGAAGCTTTGATGCCAATTTGTACTTTCCTGATAAATTAGAGGATTTAAACCATCCATAATCTATAATTTATCCATTCAACAAGTGGGAATAAACCATTTGTACACTATATTCAAGTTCTCCAACAAATTTTCCGTACTTTAATATTCCAAACCAATTCCCATGCATAACACATTCATTGATTTTACATCCTAAATCTATAGCATTTAATTGGTAAGAGTGAATATCTAAACCATTACAACAACATGCCTTAGTGGCTACACATTTCCAAGATGATACTTAGGTGCAACAAAAATGGAATGGATACCCAATACATAAAAGCCCTAGGCTTGTACAAAATGTTCACAAAAACAAACAACAAAAAGTGAGCCTTCAACTCTACAGTCCTCCCAAGTTAATTCCTTGGCAAAGGCATATCATCAGTACCAAAAAATTGATTTCCACAAAGGGTGAAGTAAAGCCCAGTAGAGATTAAATTAATATTCTGCATGAAACTTAACAAGGCCATATGGTGAATGCACATGAATATCTTTTCTGAAACGATGCATTTTTATCTTTCAAACAATGCAATGACAAGTTTATAGTTAATTTCATAAGTTTTTACTTTCAAAACAGAAAACAGGATAGTAGATACACGCACTAGGAATCTCTAGGTATATGTCTGCTAGTAGACTATACAAGTACTACCAAAACCATTTTACCAGTTCTAACCGAAAGGATAAGCACCTTACCGCATAGGTTTCCGGGCTTTCACCAAGGACATACAGGTTACAGACAACCCATTTTAACTGGCCATAAGACTTGGGCGCTTTCTTTTGATTACCTGGTGATGAAAATAAGAATGTGTTTCTCACAAAATTCTGAGCAAAAAAGATAAAATTTGAGCTTTACTATTTACCCTAAGCCTATTTTGACCAAGCGTTTAAGACCCGTCAGGCATCGGAGCGAAGCTGGACTAAACCGGAGCAAAACAGCCAACTTTCTCTCTGGTCGGTTGACCACCCAAAAATAGTGTAGTCCAAATTTTTGTTCAGTTCATGTGGGCATTCCATTATCCCATTTTCTAATATATCCATGCACCAAATGCATTTACATTCATCATCCATTGCCTAATGCTTGCTCCATTGAAGATAATGCTCCATTTTAGTGCTCTATTAGCTCCAATATCTTCATTAATGCTCCATTATTAATCTTCCACCATTTCTCCACTTGCATTGCCTATATGAACATATCAAATTGTTGGGAACTAGGAGATGGACTAGAGACTAGAGAGAGGAGATGAATTTGAGAGAAGAAGTATAGAAAGAATGTTGAGTTTGAATTAGAGTTTGAGAAAGAAAAAAAGCTTTGAAAACAAAAGAGTTGCCTTGCCAAAATAGTGAAGTTACCTAACCTCTATACATCTGATCTTCCCCTGCAAAAACTGCTCAAGAATCAAGTCCTAAAGCTTTGATCAAAGAGAGCGAGTATTCTTGCCAAGTTGAAAATGATTAAAGAGTGATCATACACTTGTCCACAACCCTCCTTCTAGCTCAAATTCCAAGCTCTTAAATTGAGGATTGAGATCATAATTCCCAACCTTGAGGGTGATCAAAGGGAAGTTTGGAAATCAAGACGTTTAATCTTTCTTTAGAAGGAAAATTTTCAATTCTTTCATTTGCTTGTTCTTTCTATCTTATATTTGTATTCTTGCTTTAGTTTCATATTAGTCTTATTGTAATCTAACCGGAAATAGTTGGTTGAGCCACCTACATATTCTTTATTTGTTCTTTTCTCGGTGTTGCAACAAGACAAGTTTTGCTAGGCCTAGTTGGCTGGCCGACCTAGTTGGTCGGCTGGCTAACTTCTTTTGGAAGAAACGGGGTAATCTTCCTGTGTTAAGCATACCAATTTCTGGTGGTCTCCAAGGCGCATTAAGCTTTTATTTTCTATTCATTTGAGAGTTTTGTGAATTGTTTTTAATTTTGTTGTAATATTTTCCTCATCTTTCTCTCATTTGGTTTGTAATTATTTATTCAAAGTGTTGTAATAATTCCCCTCCCCACTTCTCTCTATCCTATTCTTTTACTTGCTTTCCTTTGTGAATATGCATCATATTTTGTTTTTAATCATATCCATTCTTTGAATCCAAGTTTCATGCATCTTGATTCGGCTAAGTTTGCATTTATGGATTTATTCAATTCCTATGTGTGATTATGTGCAATACTTCATGTTTTTGAAATGATTCACATGTCATATATCAGAAGCCGAATCTTTTGTTGCATCTCATGTGTGAATTGCTTTATGATTCTGTATATAAGATCATGCATATTTCGCTAACTTTGTTTTGTAGTTGTTCGTGAGACATCTATAAATATGTAAGTATTTATGCTTTAACATTCGTCTTATGTATGTTTTTCTTACTATGTTTAAGCATCCTATCATGTGGCTACTTGCTTAGTTGATATAATTATATGAATGCCGGTGAATGGAGGATGTGTCGCTTAATTCAGAATGATATTGATTTTCACATTTGTAAACTCAATTTCTTTGAGTTATATATCTTCAAAACACATGAAATCAAATTGTTCCAAAATGAATGACATAGTCTATACTTGTATGCTTCACATAGTAAATTGTAGAATTTATTTAATAACCAGAATATGAACATATAAAGTTAATAAAAATCATATCATAGTTTAATAGAGGCCAATCTTTGATCGGGTAAGCGGGGGTGCTCAGTTAATGACTTTTCCCTCTTATACCTAAGGTTCCAAACCAAGTATCCTTGGTTACGATGAACAGTGGCTTGGGCACAAGTCACAAGTTTTCTAATTTTCTCAAAATATTAGGTGACAACTCTAAGATCTGGTGATATAGTCCATTTTTTGCAAAGATTTTGTAATAAAATGGATTATTTATAAAAGTTGTCAAATCTAGACTCTTATCTATGTTTCGCATTGCATTCTTAAGACTAGATTAAAGAAGTCGAAGGTCCAAACTATTTAATGCACGGGGTACCCCTGGGCGATGTTATAATTTTTGGCGACTTTGCTGGAAATTTTAGGAAACCTTGACTCAAACTTTGTGATATGACTTTTATTTTCAATTATATGTTCATTGCATTGTATGCATTGGTGCAATTAAAGTCCCTGTGTTGCCCAAATACTGGTAGGAGTGTAGGTATGCTTTTTGTGACATTATACCTCTCTTTGCGTTACTTTTGAGACCTTGTGTTAATACTTTTTAAGATCTGTCAAAAAGGTAGCTCCGGTATCTAAGGTTATCGGACTTTGAAAAGAGGCTATATGTGGACACCCCATTTTTGACTGCCTACAAGGCTCGAGCGCTTTGTTCGATACACTCGATGATGAAAGTGGTATTGTGCGTGGTTTGAGGTCTTGACGAAGGGGCCATGATTAAAGCTCCAAAACAATCCCAAACCTCCCATAGTCCCATTGATTATACCCAAGAAATCCACTTTTACACCTTGTGCCACCCCATGTTAAGGTTGAAACAAAAAAATAGGAGAACTCATTGAAGCTTGGCCATGCCTCATTGAGGGCCAGCCGTGGCTATTGAGGGTCGGCCGGGCCTTGGTAGCGAGAAATACTGTTCTGGGTAGGAGACTGCCAGCTGTCCATTTTTGAAGATATTTATGATATTTCTGGCTCAAATTCTATAAAAAGGACCATATACCTCTGTTTTGAGGGTTGAAGAATTTCAAGAAAGACATTATATCACCTTGAGAGCTCCTTCTTCTTCTTCTTCTCCTTCTTCTTGTGCAAGCAACACTTTAAGTTAACCTACCACCTTGAACTCATATCCATACACCATACACCATACACACCTTCACACCTTAGCCTAGTAACCTTGGTTAAGCTTTGAACACCATAATTCAAGCATGAGAGTGTGTTGGAGCTTATTTTGACCACAAACAAAAAGCTTAATCCCTTGAGAGGTATAAGCTTGCTATATTCCCTCTTGCTTTCATTTCTTTCATTTCTTTCATTTGCTACCTAGTTCTTATTGTTTTGTGTTGTTTTGATCCTATTTTAAGTGTTTAAGTGTGGATTTGAAAAGCTACCAAAAGGGTAGAGAGAGTTTGCTCTTTCTACACCTTTACCTATAGCTCAAACCTTTACTATTACGCTCTTTTTGTTGTTCTCTACACTGATTTTTAGAGTATAAAAAAGGCTAAAAATCTTGCTTTGAGGTTCCAAGGGTGGAGGGGTTAGCCACCCCTCCTTGTTCTTGCTTACTAGCCTCGATTCTTCTCTTTGTTGTTTAGCTTTTAGGCTCTTTTTCATGTATCTTTAGCCACTATTTTTCATCACTTAAAGGTTGTTTTAGGGCTATTCTAAGTTGTTTAAATAATTCATGCTTTTTTTAGTTTAGTTGTTGTCCCATAAGTTTGCATACATAGCATGTTGTATATTGTTCTTGGCTTTTCTTCAATTCATTTCTATGTTTAAGAACCTCATTTTAATAATCAAC